TTATTGGGTTTTACAATAAGAATAAACATAATAAACAATATAACATTTGTCTTAACATAGTTTCACATTTTCTTTGGACTTCCTCACATCCCCCGCTCCCACTTTCATCGTTATAACATTTTGTCAGCAATTTATCATCTTATTTAAATTCTTATATCTCTTCAATGTTTCATAATCTTATAGTTCTCATAAAGAGTTAAACTTTCACAGTCTTACTTATTTTCTTAAAAACTTCTAAGTTAAGTGGTGCTCAGTTATTTAGTCTAGCATCTTATTTAGCATTCACTCAAATCACAATATTTTTGTAGATAGTTCTTAAATTTCTTCCAATCCTCCTCGATTCTCTCTTCTCCCAGGTCACGGATTCTGCCGGTCATTTCAGCCAGTTCCATGTAGTCTATCAGTTGCATCTGCCATTCTTCCAGTGTGGGTAAATCTTGAGTTTTCCAATGTTTTGCAAGAAGTATCCTTGCTGCTGTTGTTGCATACATAAAAAATGTCTGGTCCTTCTTTGCCACCCCTTGGCTGACAATACCCAGAAGGAAAGCCTCTGGTTTCTTGGTAAAGGTATATTTAAATACCTTTTTCAATTCATTATAAATCATTTCCCAGAACGCCTTCACTTTAGGGCAGGTCCACCAGAGGTGGAAGAACGTTCCCTCACACTCTTTACATTTCCAACACTTATTATCAGACAGGTGGTAAATTTTTGCAAGTTTAACTGGGGTCATATACCATCTATAAATCATTTTCATTACATTTTCTTTCAGAGCGTTACATGCAGTAAATTTCAATCCATTACTCCACAACTTTTCCCAGTCCTCAAACATAATATTATACCCAATGTCCTGTGCCCACCTTATCATAGCCGATTTAACCATTTCATCTTGTGTATTCCATTCCAACAGCAAGTTATACATCCTTGAAAGTACCTTAGTCTTTGGTTCTAACAATTCTGTTTCTAATTTCGATTTCTCCACCTGGAACCCTAGTTTCTTATCA